GGAGATGCATCCAGATGCTGGGGAAGCAGCTGTGGATGGCAGAGGATTTGGTGGTGGGACATGCAGGCTCCTGATGATTAGGAGATCCATCTGCCCATTTGCCTGGTTAGTGGACAAGTAGATCCTGGAAGGTGTCAGAGTGCTTGGGGCAAGCCTGGGGCGGTCATTCCTGAAGCTGGGTTACCTGGGAAGCTAAATTTGGGAGCCTGGGAAGAAGATGGAATTTTGGACATGGCATTACCTCTTCCTAAAGTCTCAGGGTGTGCCTGGGGGAAGGATGTGACAAGTAGGTGAAGTGAAGAGCCACGACTTCACAGCATGGGCTGGTTTTCACTTCAGCCAAGGTGTCCCTTGGCTGGTGGCACGGACAGTGGGCAGGGTTTGGGGAGGATGGACTGAACACAGCACTGGTGGAAGGCTGAGGCTGTTCTGTGTGGGGCATGTGGAGGTTGAAGGCAGAGTTGTGTGCACAGGAAGGACAACCAGCTGCCAGGCTGTGGGCTGGAGCAAGGAATGGGCTCGTCTGTGTGGAAACACGAGACAAAAATAGTTGTTGTAGACTGCTCAGTGGGGAAAAAAGACCTTGGCACAGCTGGTCTGATTGAAACGTGGTGGGGGTGATGAAAATGAATAAGACACTGCATTACCTGCCATCACACTGTACTGAGCAGGTGTGCTGGGGCATGAAGGAGGAACACTACATCTAAAATTTGCTGTAAAATCTGAGAGGAAATTGGAGGAGTGACAACCAAACAGCCGCATGTATGTTGGATATAAATTCTGTATTTTAATGACAAGGAGGTATTAGGAAGTTTTCTATTCCAGACTAGAAGGAAGTTGTGGATTTCATGGGGCTTGGGAGAAAACTAAGGCTCTGGCATCTTCATAAACCTGTAAGAAAAAGTAAATTCCATTATGGCCATGCTATCACAGGTCGTTTGGGAAGGAGCTGGCTAACATTTTGGTGAGCAAACATCTCAATTTACTTAAAGGATCATGTCTTGTAACAGCCTGGTCTGGAGTAAGCCTCGCTTTAGGACTAAGACATAAGAACTGGTTCAAGATACAATTAATGTTGAGTTGTTAAGTAGCAGCGACCACAGTACAGTTACAGGTTCAGCATCCTCAGGGGTGGAAGGCAGTGGACTAAAAAAAAATTACTTGTGTTACAAAATATTGCAGGGGAGAAGATCAGAAAATAAAGTAAAGATAAGGAGCCTCCCTCTGAAGCTCAAGTGTTTGAGGCAGAGATGCTGGAGCAAAGTAGCAAATTCAAGTGGAAGGGCAACAGGTGTATCGAGGGGTTTTTTAAGAGTTTGGGAGAGCAAAAATAGGGATGATAAAAAACAGCTTAGTATTCTCCATGACTGGATAACATTCTAATGTTGGGTTGTAATTTTTTTTTTTTAATTAAAGTATTAATTGGGGCACTGGGAATTACAGATCAGCAACCCTGAACTCTGGTTTGAGAAGGAGAGGCTGAAACAGTGTAACTTTTCAGTGTGTGAGAGGTGGAAAGCAACATACTTTCTGCAAAGAAAGGGGGTTGGATCGGATGGTCCTCGAGGGTCCTTTCCAACCAAACCATTCTTTGATTCTGTGACCAATCTTGTTTTCTGGGACATCTACCAGACTCTTTGGACATGCTGACAAATACCAGGAGGTGAAGAATGAACTGATCTTTATTTGAGTGTTTTGAAATGTTTTAATCAAGTTCTTTCCAAGAAGGCATTTAAAAATATGCTTCCAATGAAAAGAGAAATATCACAGAGTCCTTCTTTGGTTGCAGTTGATGTTGATCAGTTATCTAGTCTAGTTGGAGAAGGTGATCAAAAGCCTCCAAGTCTGCATCTTCAGCCTTTGAGCAAATGAGTTTCCTTCCATGGTTTTATTAAACCCGAAGTTGCTGGGTAGTGGATGGTTGATTTTCGTTAAACTATTCTAGTGGACATAACGAGGTCCAGGCTGCAACATCTGGTTGGGCAAAGGGGAGGAACAAGCCCAGAATACAGGGTAGCATGGGATCTAGATTTGTCCTGTAATGCAACACCCCCAGTTCAAATTCCTGCCCTGAGCTGGACTTGCAGGTCTACCAGGTGCCAGACTGTGCCTCAGCAGCTGATGTCGTGGGTATGTTCTGTTTAGTTCTGTTTTGACCAAGAAAAATCCTAAAAGGTAGTGGTTTTGATGATGGGCAGAAAGGGAAGGAGCGGGGAGAGAGGCCTGGGCAGCATCTTCCAGGTGTTTTCCTTTCAGGAGGGTTGGTGGTGTGTGTTCTCATGCAGACCTGTGTTTCCTCTCTTCCCAAGAGATCCTGGAGGACCCACAGGTAGCTGGTCTCGGCTGGAGCAACCCTTGGCTGCTCTGGCTTCATTTTAGGCTTCTTAAAAGTCTAGAAGGCATGACAAATACCCTGGCTTCTGCCACCTTCCCTGGCTCCAGTAGATCATGGTACCAGAGAGTGAGTGCTTTGATGAGTTGCTGGAGTTTGCAACAGGAGCAGGTTTACTGCAGGTACCGCAGTCATGTCAGAGTTCATGTTTAAAGACAGGAATTGGCAGCTGATGGAGCAGAGTGGTTGGGTTATATTGGAAAAGTGACTCCAGCCTGGCCATGGCTGGAAAATTAAGAAGAGCATGATAATGTCTGTCTGTCCTGTGAGCGTGCAGCAGTGGGGCTGACCCTGGGAAATGTGAGGCAGCAGGCAAGGGGGGGGAAAAAAAGCAATTTTTAATGTTCCACCGGTATTGCTGGGCTGTAAGTGAGCTGCAAAATTGAAGAATGTCAGATTCTGTTAACAGAGCAAATGAGGTGAGGGTGTGTAGCCTGCCACAGGAATCCTGCCTGTCCCTGTGAGGCTGAGCTGAGCCTGCACCATGGCTCATTAGACCCCCACAGTGTCCCTGTGCTGTTCTCCCTGGTCATCTTGGGTGGCTGTCACAGCACAACCTTTGTCCCTACTCCCTAGAAATTCCTTAGATTACTCACTTCTAGTTAAATTATACCAGCTGACTTTGAAGTACTCAATATAAAACCGTTGTGGTATTGCTTGCATGATAGTTACTTGACGTAAGAAAACAATTTCTTGTGCTCTCTCTTTAGGAATTTGGACTTTTGAGTTTTCAGTGGGGAGCGTTGTACGTGCCCAACTGCACAGGGTCGGGCCCATCTCTGTTTTAAAGTGTTATTTCACATCTGAGATTAGAAAACAAACCAGAAGATCAAGCTGTCAGAGGCTCAGATGATCATAGTGACTCGTGCTAAAGGCTCCGTCCTCGTAGAGACCCGCACGGCTGCTTTGTGTAAACTGCTGTCAGAGCTCTGGCGTTTTGGTAATAGCATTTCCCTCTAAATGTACTGAGTATACTCGCCTTTAAATCCTGTTAGGTACTGATAATTACTGTTGGTATCCTGTACATTAGCTCTGTACTAGCATTCACATCAGACTAGGCTTAATATCGTGAGTGTCAAAGATGACTTTGAAAAAGGGAAACTAATTTATACCCTTCCCGTGTAGCGGGTGGTTTGTGGAAATACCAGGAGTGCTGCAACTGTCTTCCCCCTTTTACTTGCTGTGATTTTCTGCAGGAGAAAATACAGATTTAAATCTATTTTTCCATTCTTTGGAGACACTGAGATATTATCGTGGTGAGATCCATGGAAATACCCAGACAGACTGGGCCATCATGCAGAGATAAGGCATCTTTTCCATTTGGTTGTGTTTTTGTTTTTTTTTTTTTTTTCTGCTGCTGACCATTCTCCAAGCTTTTTTTTTTTTTTCTTTTTAACGTAAAAAAGCTATTCCTTCATCTGTCCAGTGCAACACCCTCTAGGATATTTGTGGTCTTCCAGAAAAGGTAGACAGGACTTGAATAACTAATGCCAAAAAATCGCCCATAGCACGGGAGGGAAATCCTTGTTTTCAAGACAAAACCCTATCCAGACCTTTTTCAGACACCCCTCAGCACACCACAAGGGTATAAATCCCGACTTTTTCTTTTCCAGGTGATCTTTCAGACCAAGTAGCAGAGGACAGGGCTTTGCCCTCCCGGGGCCCAGGGCATTTAGGGAGCTCCATGGGGCTGGCTTTCACCGTGTCCTCAATTTGGATCCCCAGGGCAGAAAAATTAGGACTTTCTCAGTTAAAGAAAAAGCCAAAAGTGAAGCAAAATCTCTGGAGAGTTGTGTTTCCCCACAGCAGCGACGGCCCCTCAGCACCCGCTTTCTGTTCAGCCAGGACCCCTGGGTCAGTCCTGCTGGGTTTTTAGCCATCTTGACCTCATGTTTGCAAATATTATTGGTAATATAATGCTCTATGTACAAATGTCTGTGTGGCTCATGTGTATGTTTCTGTGGTTCAAGTCAGCCACAGACTTCTGGAATTTCATTGTACTTTGGTTAAATGTTGGACTTTTAACTCTTCTACTGTATGGCTTCTTGATTTCTCTTGTCCAATGTGGACCAACTCTATTTTTGGAAATAAATAAGCATGTAAATAAAATGAATGGGTTTATGCCACTTAACAAAGAAAATGCTTTATTTAAAATATACACTCAGCCTTGTATATTTTATGGTATCTCAGGGAGCAGCAGAGGCTCTGGGCCCCAGCAGCCTTAGTGCTGAGATACCATATTATGTACAAATTCACTTCCAAGTGCTTTTGGAAGAAGACTTCCCATCTCCTGAGCCAAACCCCTGTAGGACCAGCCTTGCAGAGGAGGGAGGGGGAAATCCAGGAACACGTAGTTTAAGGGGAGTAAAGGAAAGGAACAGGACTTTCCTCTCAACACAAGGCTTCTGGTTTGAGGTGTCCGGGTGCCAGGGATGCCACGGGGTGGTTCTGGGCTCCTGCTTGGGAGCACGTGGAGATCAGGAGCAGGATGACATCTTTTTTTTATTATTATTTTTATTTTTTTATTATTAAAAAAAAAAAAACAAACTTCTCCATATAAACCAATATTTACCAGTAATCCTGTGTTTCTGTTTTTGTTTTTTGGCAGACTTTTACCAGTAAATATCGGTTTATTCCTGAAACCAGAAGCCCTAAACATACCTTTGTTTATAAGGTCAGTTGGCATTTTGTCTCTCTCGTTCCCCACTCCTCCCCCCAGTACAACCCAGCAGGTGATTGAAAGGTACCGAGTTCTCTTTCTAGTTTTCCTGCTCTGCACCTCTGGGAACTGGAGCCCGCAGGACCTAGAGCCTTCTGTTGGTAACGTAGACCCGAGTTTACAAGTTATTCTTTTGCCATTTTAAATCCTGCTTTTAAGGACAGAGGTGGTGTTCCCTCCTGTCCACCACGGGGAGTGATAGAAACCCCTGCCAAATGCCTAAATTGCTCCTCCTCTCCGAAGCCTGCGGGTAGGTCTCTCACAAGCATCTTCAGGCTTGGGGCTGAGAAAACAATTTGATCCCAAAATATCCACTAAAAAAACTGCCGTTTCTGGTTTACAGTGAGCAGGACTGGGGGAGGGAAGGGTGGGAAAGGAGTTTGGAAATTATTTCCCCCCCCCCCAACCCCCTTTTTTTTTTCCTAGAAAGCAAACGTGACATGGGGAGGAGGGAAAGGATTTTGAACATGGCCCTTCCTAAACTCACTGTAAACTCTTCCTCCAAGGCTGGGAGAAAGGGCAGGTGAAAGTTCTGATCCTTAAAAGGACATTGCTGGGTGTCTGGGATCCCAAAAGCAGCTGGTGATTTGTAAGGATGGGAATCACTTTTGGTTTATCCCAAGACAAATAGACTTGGGAGTGAGTATTGAAGCTTCCAAGTGTTTGCCACCCAAACACAGCAGCATTTTGCTAATACACCAGAAACAGAGAAGCTGGTGAGGGATAGAAAATGAATTGACTGCATGGTTGGTCCCTGCCAATTTTTTTTTTGTCTCCCAAACAAACAAAATGAAAAAAACCCAAACCAAACCCATCCCTGACCCCCCAAAAAAGGTAACCTGCCAAAAAAGCAAGTCAAAGAGGGTCTCAAACGTCCAGGTTTTGTAGTGTGTGGTTGTCAGGGGTGTTTCTGGCATAGCTGCAGCCCAGCTATGTCCCTTTAAGGAGCACCGTGGCTCGTTTCCTCCTCACGAAGCCCAAGCTGAGGGTTGTGCCGTTCCTGAAGCTCCTGCAGCCTTAGTTGGAGTCCAGAATGAGGGGAGCCCTTCCAGCTGTGCACTTTTGAGCTGAAAACTACCTTTCCTCCCCTTTTGCAGCCTGGGTGGTTCTGATTGCTGGCAGTTCTGTAATACAACCTTAATCTGAGCAGTTGAGGCTGGTCCTACCTTATCTTCAGACGTCTTGCGGAGGACTCCTGTTACCAGTTTGGTACTCAAAAGCTCCACCCCACCATCAGAAGTCACTTTTTGTTTTTTTCCAAAGGCAGTGATAGCTCACCCTCTCTAGCTCTAATGGAAAACATGATAATTGCAATGCAACTTTCTAATAAATTGTTCGTATATTCATAATTCCGTTGCAATCCCAAATTGGAGAAGAGATCTGTTAAAGGTATATATTAGTCTAGATTTTTCTTATTGTAAATACTGTAATTTTATAATACTGTCAATATTTTATTAACTTAGAAATATTTAACAGAGTTTAATCTATGGTAGTTGATTTATTTATAGGTTTATGTTGCAGCCAATTACATTCTAATGTAAGATTAACTTTCAGCATGTAAACATTGAGTGAAAATATCATTGGAAAGATTAAGAGAGAAAACTCTCGCTCTTAATTTGTAATATTTACTCCCAGTTCCCAGTTGGGAATTATTTCATGAAATATTAGGAGTATTTGAGAGCTCATGAACCTAAAATCTGCAGCTGGATTTGAAAACTTGAATTTTGAGATGTACCTGGCTCTTCCACCTTGTGAACAAGTTCAGTACCTGCTCTCTGTAGCACGGAAGTCTTTATTTTGAGCAAAGGGACACTGTCAGATCAATTTTAGATTTTTGGGTGGGTTTTTTTTTTTTTTTTTGGGGGGGGGGGGGAAGGGATGGGGGGAACCAAAACGCAGCCCCAGTGCGTGTGTGTTAAATCCTTTTGGATCACAAGGGGAACGGCTCCTCTCCTGAGGCTTTGGGTCCCTGGGCGGAGCATTCCCGCAGCTGGGAATGCCGCATCCTTCATCCCTGCGGCCAGGCAGGGCTGGAGCTGCGGCCGCTCCGAGGGGTCCCCGCAGTCCCGTGTTCGCCGTCGGAGCTCGGGGACAAGGGCAGAGCTGCACAAAGACTTAAAACCTGATGGGTTTTGACCAAAGGTTTTTTTTAAATTTTAAGTCTCTCTCTCTCTTTTCTCCTGATGGTGTCCCTTTAGCATCATAAAGATGTTCTCTGAAAACCGTGAGAAGTGATTTTCTTTCCGAGGCAGGGAAGAATTTGGTCTGTCACGTGTTTGCAACGCAACTTGCATAAAAATACCAAAAATATCCCGAGGGTTTTCACAGGCGTTGGTATTTTCTTGGAGTGTAAAAGTTAATCTTGATTAGAGATGTGCCAATCTATACTGCTTTCCTGTAGCGTTGTTACACTTAGGCATTTCAGTTCACTTACAAATATATACTGTAACAGTATACTTTGTACAGATTTATTTAAAAAAAAAAATTATTTGAAAACTGAAATAAAGTAGGCAGAAAATAAAGATATTTATTTTTCATTTGACTATGTAAGAAGGTATCATTCTTTTGGTTTTAGTGCACTGGTGTACCAAGGCTCAGAACCACTGCTTTCTCCAGCTCATAGGATGCTTTTCCAGACTGTGGATACGTGTATGTGTACTGCTGTGTTGATAAGTAAAAACCAACGATGGAGTTCGTTGCTTTTATACATCCCAAAGAGAAGTTCTCCACCGTTCCCTGTCTGTTTTCTGACCGAAAAGGCGTGTTTGTGAACAGTGTTCACGCGAGCTCTGCCATCCCACCCTCACATCAGCTCACACCAATGCCAGGATGGGAGGAGTTGCCAGCGGACCTGCCCCAAAAACACCCCCGGGGCCGCAGTGGCATCGTCAGGGAGCAGTTCAAACCTGTGTCCTTTGGGCTTTGTGTAAAGCAAACGCAGAACAAAAAATCGAGATGTTAAATCCATTAGAGAACCAATTCCTTATTGTACAGTAGTATGGAGATCTCTAGTCAACCTGCCATTAATAATAGATTCTTATTTTTTGAATGATCTATTTAAAAGAACAGCAAGCATTGTATTTGCTAGTAAATCTGAAGTGTTTACATGGAATTACTAAATAAATTATTTGATCTAAGATGGCTCTCATCAGTGCTGATTTTTAATAATGGAAATTCATTTTGGCAGCTGCTTTTTTAGTTCGTGCTGTTCTTTAAAATCTTCCAAAGCAGGTTTGTTTGGTTTGTTTTGGGTTTTGGTTTTTTTTTTTTTTTTTTCACTGCATCCTTGTGGTTCCAGTTAGGTTCTGAGGAGGAGGCAGAGCCTGACAGGAGTGCTAGCTCATGTTTTCCAACCCCCCTTCATGAGGCTGCCCCTTCACATCCCAAACAGCTGAGGTGGAGCAGGATGCTCTGAGCCCCAAGCCCTGCTGCTCACCTGTGACTCTTCCCAGGCTGAGTCCTGGTGCATGGAGAGGGAGGAGTTTAGTTAGCAGAAATCATTGGGATAGAAGTAAAACACCATCCTGCAAGGTAATGAGTTCTTGAACTCAGTTCCAGTGAGGCTTGGTCTTGCTTTCTGCTGTTCCAAGGCTCCAGGAACACCCCGTGCTCCCATCCCCATTCCCCTGCTCGAGGCCCATGGATCCAGAGAAGCAGATTAGGCCTTAGGATCATCAGCAAGGCCAAAGGCAAGTTTGTTTTTTTTTTTTTTTTGGGGGGGGGGGGGGGTTCCACCCCTTCCAAGCCCCAAGAGCTGCTCTCTGACGTGAGAGCTGTGCAGCCCCAAAAGCTCCCTGGTGCTCCAGGGCTGGAGGATGGGGTAGGGAATGCCCAGGGCAGAGCGGCTGCAGCTGGAGAGCTGCAGGAGTGAGAGGCTGGATGCAGAAATCCCCGTACCAGGAGCAGCAGGAAGAGCAGGCAGGCGTTGCAAATGCCGAGTCTGGCCACACCGTGTCCCCCTCTAAGCGCCGCACACGCAGCTTTTCCCTGTCAGGCGCTCGGGACCGGGGAAAACGAAACTATCAATAATGCACCTGTCCCCGCATTCCCCGCTCCCGGCCTGGCTCGCACACGCGCTGAGTCACCCCATGTTTAATTCAGCGCTCCCAGCGCCGGAGCCCTGGCTGCAAACCCATCCAAGGCTTGCGTTATGCACCAGCAGAAATTTTTTGTTGGACGTGGATTTCACGCTCCACGTTCAGGGCAGGATTCCTGTCCGGCCCTGCGCTCGCTCCGCTGGCTGGGGAGGGGCGAGCCCAGCTCCTGCTCCACGCACACGGACAGCGAGTCCTCCACCTCCCACTCCCTTTTCCCGCTCCTCCCACCCTTGATGGTTTGGAAAGGTCCGGGATGTCCATCCCTGGGCCCTGTGGCACAGCCCCAGGTCTCCCCGAGCCTTCCACCCCGGGAGCTCACCCATCACACCACACCGTTCCACTGGAAATCATTCAGCTCTCACTTACTCCTCTGCACAGCGTATTTACACACATCTCTTTCTCCTGTGTGAGCTGGCCCATGTTTATGAGCAGTACATTCCTAGAAATTTGCTTTCTGGTTTGGGGGAAATTGAGCACAAGGGTAAAATGGCTCCATTTGTCTGAGTAACAGCAGGAAACCTATCTGGGCCAGATGCTTCTCCAAGTTCATACCCCTCAGCCCTGGATAATGGTTAGTGCTGGAAACAGCTTCTCTGCACCTTTCCAAGCCATGCAAGGCCCTGATTCTGGAAGAAAATACTTCCTCTTTAGCTTAATTTCCCACCCACTCCATAGCACACGGAGTGACCCATAGCTTTGTTCCTGCTGCCTCTGGTGTCTCCTCATTTAGATGCTTAAAACAAAAAGCAAACTGAGACATTGGGCCAAAACACTGGTCACAAGCTTGTGTTTTTAGTAATTACCCATGTTTGCTTGTAAGGGATGCTCCAGTAACTCGGATTTGGAGCATCCTGAGCTGGCCTTGCCTCACACGATGGCTCCCAACCAAAGCAATTCCTTCCATGCTGGCTCGCTTGGCATTGCAGAGGACCTGATGGCTTTTCTGGGAACCGGCTAAAGTAGGTTATCTAAGACAAAAAGAAGTGCCCCCAGGTGGCATTCCTGACCTAGGAAACCCAGCAGGTACTTTTGGTGTCACCACCACTGCTGCTCACGTGGAGAGGGGACTCGAAAGCCCACTGGAACTGCCCAGTCCTGCCACGCAGGTGTTGGGAATAGAGACTGCTCTGGATTTCCAGGAATGCATAATTGCAGTGAGGAGGCATAGGCACGAACTTGATCCATCTTTTAAGAGCTTCCCTTCCAGCTCAGCAGAGCTGGAAAGGCAATACTTGATTTATTTCACCCCAGATTCGTTTCTCCAAGTCTAAAATATGGGAAGTGGGGAAAGAGAGGAGCTTAAAAGGGAGCAGAAATTCTTGATGGTAACATCAAAGAGTGGTTCAGATGGGAAACCAGCCTGATAATTTGTTTTACCCACCCACAGGAGGGATGGGAAAGGCTGGTTTCCTGCTGCATCTTACATATTTTTGGGGGTTTTAAAATTATTTTATAACTTACCCAGCATTCAAGTTGGCCTGGGAACCAAAAGCCATGGCAAGGTCAGAGGGTGATTTCTGCTGCCAGGCAAGGAGGATGGCAGTGTGACTCTTGCTCTGCACCCCCCAGGCAATCTGGGGCACAGATGTCTGCAGCTGCTCCAGAGCCTGGCTGGGGCATTCAGGGGCAGATCCCTGTCAGGCAGAGTCTGCTGAGGGATCTGTATCTGTGGGGCAGTGCAGCCAAGCCCTGGTAGCATTTACACTGGGCGCTCAGTGCCAGGGGATGCCCACGAGAGCTTGACCCCAACAGGGGTGCCCTGGGAGAGCAGCAAACACGGAGGGGAAGAGGAAGGGACTGAGTTTGAACAGCAAAGCCCAGCCTGGCCCTGCTGTCCCTACAAGAGGCTTTCCTGCACCTCCTGTTGCTCTCCCTCCCAGAAGTGTCTCCCTGGGCCAGCCTGCATCTGTCACAGCCAGAGGATTGACCAGAAGGACTGAGCTGTACTAAAATCAGAAGCAGGAGATGCCCAAAGTGCCTCTCCCTGCCCTGCTGGGTGAGACAGGCAGCGATGATGGCTCTGTCCTCCACCAGAGCTCACATCCCACAAGGATTCCCCCTGTTCACCTTGGCCATGGGAGCGAACCCGCAGCGTCCCTGCCAGGAATGGTCATGGAAAAGCACCTGGCCACGCTCTGCACGCTGCCATTCCACAGCAGAGGGGTGGAATGGCCTCCCAACAGTCAGGAGGGCAGGCGGTGGCCTGATGTGGCTGCTGGGCTCCCATGAGCTTGGGAACACTCCACGAGTGAACAGTGCCTGCTCTTAGGGGGTCCTCGAAGCTCTTCTGAATGAGGGAGGTCAGAGTTGCCCCCACCACCCTGCCCATCAGGGGATCCATCCCGAGATGATCCCGTGCAGCTGGAAGATCATGTCACTCCTTTGCAAAAATCCCCTCTGGTAGCAACAGAGAAGCTGTGGCTGCCCCATCCCTGGCAGTGTTCAAGGCCTGCTTGGAAGGGGCTTGGAGCAACCTGGTCCAGTGGAAGGTGTCCCTGCCCATGGCAGGGGGGCAGAACTGGGTGATCTTTAAGGTCCCATCCAACCCAAAGCATTCCACAATTCTGTTAATAGCAGCAGCTTTCCCAGTGGTTGGTGGTTCCCCACACCCTGTGAGGGTTTGCCCTCTCTCACAGCAGATGTCCCCAAAGGCTCTGTGATCAACACATTGCCTTGACCAGCAGGAAGGGAGCTTGAGGGTTTAATGGGGGGTGAAGCAGGGGGTGCTGGGGACAGATGAGCCCCTGGTGCCATCCCCAACAAGCCCCCACTGCTCTTTTGGGTTTGCTGTGTTGGGGCTGAGTCCTGGCAGTGCCTGGCAGGAGTGACTGACCCTGGGGCTGCACGGTGTTAGATCCGGCATCCAGGAGCATCCAGGGACCTCCCAGCCCAGGACTGGCCCCATCACATCTCCTCCTGTGCACCCAAAACCCCACAGCCCAGACCTGTGGTGGAGACGCAGCACAAAGGGGGCCTGTTCAGCCAAACCCTGTGTCTGAGCACACTGAAGGTGACGTCGTGTGCAGGATGAGCTGAGTCCAAGCGCAGGGAGCAGCAGGGACGTAGAGAATTCCTGTGCCCAGCTTTGGCTCTGCTTCTCCTCCCAGTTAGGGGCACTAAGTGCCCCTAATCTTGCATTTTCCGCGGTGAATTTCCCTTAGTTGGTGTTCAGCCTGCAGCTCGAGGATTTCTCAGCAAGCTGCTGCTTTTCTGTGATGGAATTAGTGACAGTGGGTACAGCAATAGCAAGTAATTATTCAGTGACCTAGAAATGACCTTTAGATTTTAAAAATCTCTGGCTTTACCCAGGGCCAAACGTTCATGAACCCAAAGGAGCTTCTGGGTCACCAAGATTTGGGCAGTAGCAAAGCACTTGGGAAGGAGCAGCACTGGGAATTCTCTCAGTGGGTGAAGGATCCTGAGTCCTGCTGTTGTCCCAGCCTCCCAGGGCCATGTGTCCCTATCCAAGTGCTAAGACACAAGGATCCCTGGCATAGCCTGTGCAGCCCCTGGCTGGAAAAGCAGCCCAGCCACGGCTTTTTGGGAAGTGGGAGAGACTACCCACTCCACCCCCCCAAAACCAGCTGTGGGCACAGGGCCATTAGATGTGGGAACATCTGGCCACCACCACTGCCCATCCCAGGGCATTTGTGTCAGCCTTAAGGCCACCAAACCTCACTGTCAACGTGCTGGCACAAAGCTGGCACCACCCTTGGCCCCAGCAGGAGATGCCACGAGGAACAGGCAGGAAAGACTTTCTCAGTTCCCACTCATGGACTGGGAACGGGCTGGGCAGGGGCTCCTGAGCTCTGCTGGCCTTCCCACAGACTCGCTCCCTCCAACATGACCTTCTGCCCTGTTTTTGGATGTGGGATGCCTGACGAGCCTCTTGGGAGATCCCACATGCTACCTAAGCCCCTCTAAGGAGGAGATGGACCTTGGACCGGGGAACCAGTGACCTCTGTGTCTCCCAGTTGTTCAGCACCTACTGAGAGAGAAACGTGTCTCCCAGGGATGGCTCAGGAAGCCAGGTGAAGGAT